AATGATCAAAAATAAAAAAAGAACTATTCTTGTATGGTCTGATGGGCTAGCTGTATATAATATGTAATAGCTGTATATATTTTTAGGGATGAGTAATTTTTTTTAAAGCCGCCGCCAATGCACGCGCAGTACGGACGCACTGCTAAAAGAACCGGGGGACAAGGCTTACTTGATGGTTCGCTTTCGCGCCATTGTGTATCCTATATTGTCAAGCTTACAAGCTTAAAAGCGGAACTGTCCTGCTCAAAGTGGGACGTATGGTCACGTTAGGTTAAATATCCGTTTTAAATAGAAAAAATATATAGAGCACAAAATTCTCTTTAAAAAACAGTGAAAATTAGTTAACGGGTTCGATTTATTGGAACTTTAACCCTAACCATGCATAGCTGAAATATTATTAAACAATTTCAGTATTCTAAGACTCGGTTATGGTTTTTTTATATCTCAAAAATTTATTTTGTCACTTAGACACGTTGTAGTTAACAGACAAACTCGGCTTGCAAACAAAACTGTTTTGGGACTTGGAAGGCTTCAACTCTGGTGATAGTGCGTGTATGGCTGAAGCCACTTTGAATAATATCTGCCAAACAACCTCCGAGTTTGATCATAACTGACAGCCGACAGATTAACAGTCATAAAAATAAAATTTAAAACTTTTATCGTAAACGCACTTAGTAGTAAGTACTTAAAGAACATTTTAATAGTAATTAAAAAGAGAGGTTTATCTTCTGAAAAACTATTTCAGAAAAGAACTTATAAGGTGAAACAATGTCATACTCGACCAAGAAAATAGCAAATGAAGACGATTTACAAAGGGTTAACGGAGACAAAAATATTGTCAAAGCAATAGAAAACAGAAGGAGGAAAATGTTTACGTAATGACAAATTCATAAAAGTTATAATTGAGACGAAGAGAAAGAGAAATAATCTCAGCACAGAGTACTAAAACAAACAAACCTCAAAAGTCATTCATCCCCTAGTTTACTACCCTTAGAGGAATATTGTCTATTTTTTTTCAAATTTATATAGGACTACTACTAAAGTACCCTTTTTTCAACAATAAAGAATCATCGAAATCAAAAGAATTAAAAGAGTTATCACGTAACATACATACAAAAAAACTACATAGAAATTGAGAACCTCCTTTCTTTTGAAGCCGTTTAAAAAATAGAGAATAGCATTACTGAACACGTAAAAGAGAAGGTCAAAGTGAGCAGCTAATAGCGGTGGGCTCAATATTCGCTTTATGTTCGCTATTCGACCGACTATTCGAAAAATTTTTTGTCACTGAAAAATAAACCTCTATTTCAGGTATCACTTCCTCATTTGATGCAAATCGATAAAAAAACACATAAAAAAGTCAAATGGGCCAAATCTGGTGAATACGGGGGTGTGGCAATAGTTCGTATCATAATTCGAAGAGTTCTGATTGCAGATGAGACATGGAATACTCGAAAATCCGTTTCCTCCATCTTCAAAAAATATACCGACCACATGTAACCTTTATATTTCTATTTTTTTTATTTGTTAAAAAGTAACGTCAGTTGCTCCATAGTGGAGTTCTAAATTAAGGGAAATTAAGAAATAGAAATAAATCCCGAAAAAAGTTTTTATTTAACTTTAAAGTCACGGATTTATAAAACCACCCGATCATTCGATGCAAGTTACAACCACCCTTAAAGTGTTCTAAGTGTGAATGTACACTTTTTTGTTTACAATACACTGGAATATCAATTCGAAAAAATACAAAGCTACATTTTGCAATTACAGCATGGTGCAATACGACTTTGTAATGTCAGAAAGTACGTCAACCTGTTTTTATAGAGATACCAAGAAATCATCGGATAGTAAAATGTTTCACGTATCAAGTGCTCGGAGCAAATATTAACGGTTCCATGTTGATTTTTATAGATTAAGGCGATATTATAAGCGACAGCAAACAAGTCGCCTGCGCAGTCACGCGGAGTTCAATACTCCCCAAGCTTTATAAATATTTGACTTTAAATTGCTTGAAATTACATTTTGATGAAGGATGGAGATATCTCTACACTTGTGCGTATATAGTATAAGTTTTTTAAAACTATTTGGCTACCGTGGCCGGCCGCTGGCGTCGAATACTGTAGTCACATTATAAAGCACGAATAATTTTAAATTTATGGTATATAAGTCCTATGATTAAGCAATTCAGGTGATTATATCTCTCCCACATCAATCGTCATTTTAACTTACGAGTCCAAAGTGTTTAAAAGCTGAAATGTGCCGATGAGTATATAGTAACAGAACGATCAACCTATAATTGATTAGGTTTAATTAGAGGTGTTTTAGACAGCGTTTCGATACTGGAAAGGAAAGACGTGTAAAGTGCGTTTAGAAAACATTATAGGAGAGTGATTTGGAGTAATTTTTTTAAGAAAAAAGATCATAACTTTAATTTTATTTGTTATATGGAAAACTAGAAAGTTTCAGCTTTTCCATATCGATGCCTTATGTTCTCAAACTCGAATATTATAAAGAGTGATTATTCAGGAGACAGCCAAACTTTCTATTTATTTTAAATTTCTTATTAATGGTGTTAATTTGGATGCATTACTTTAAGAATATGTAAAAGTCCGTGTGTAAATATGAAGGAAATGTGACGTGCAATCAGCCTGCAAAATTTGAATAGGTATACAATAATTTTTTTGCAATTCAGTAACTTTGTGGTTTAAGATACGATTTTGAGAAAGAAAGGCGACGATATAACAAACAAAATGATTGTTTTTTCTTGAAAATGTTTTATTAAATCGTTCTTCTGTAATATTTTCCAAATGCACGTTATACATTTTACCTTTCCAGTGTCGACTTGTTTTTCACACGACATCCTTTTGAGTCTTAAATCATCGCTGTATCGCGTCACGCTCGTGGGATTTATCGCCACTACCATAAAATAGATACGTGATAGAAAAAATAAGAAGCCAACCCGGTAGGTCGCAGGACTCGCGGGTCCTTGGTCCCAACGTCATGCGTCAGCGTCAACAAAGCCCCTGTGCCCACGCGCTAATGTATTCAACGCGGCGATTGATGAAGTATAAAATTTCTTAGTACCGTCTCGCTCACAATGGAATTATGATAATTTATCGGTTGGCTTGTGCCGGCCGAGTGTGTGGGAACGCGCGCGGCACGGGCTTTCCCACGACGCTGAGCCGCGGCGAGGAACGCCATCTTTTGTATCGCTAGACTCGTCGCTTAAGCCCGTCTTCTTCAGAGCTAAATTGCTACTTTGGTATCAATTGGTCGTAAGAGACGAGTGCTGGTAGTCGAGCGGTACATTGCGCTCACTTTGCGGCCTCGTGTTGACGCTTTGGACGTTCTACCGTCTGGGCACGCAAGACAGAATTGGAGTAAGTAGCGTCACGGCGGTTTCGACCGCACAATGGGTCGGTGCCGGCTCAGCTAGCGGTGCTGGGAACACTCACACCTTTGCGTTAGATAGCTTGTTATTGTTTTGGTTGACTAATTAGGATGTACTGTTCATTGTAAGGATTATAAGATTACTAAATGATACACGTTATTGATATGGTGAGACTGGTTTTAACCGGTGATTATTAATAAGATGAGACCGCATACGCATAAATTAACATAATTGATGTTACTGAGAAAAATACCATCAAGTACAAAAGCGCTTCTTTGAAAAAGGTGGTATTTTATACTGCGCTACATAATAATTACCTAAAAAGTACTTGGTGAAATAAATGAAAGATGAAATTACGTGCATTGCCTAGCCTATAAATAAACAAATATTACCTTGCTATATGCCAATTCTAAATCCAGGTTATCCACTAATAAAATTAATAAAGCACTAAAAAGTGTCGTTTCTATTCTAGTCTATCTGTACGATAGAGGCGATAACACGACTCGTGTCGCACGGACCTGCGTCCGCGCCGACACCTCCGCAGGGTTGCCACGCGTAACGATGTTGTGTGAAAAATTTTAATTTTAGTAACTGCGTATAATAATGCTACGAAAGCATTAAAAAAAGAAATAAATACGTATAATGTTGCCATTGTTTATTTTTTATAACAGTATCTGTAGTCGAATATTTTACAGAGATTAAATATTTTTAAATGGAAAAATAAAAAATCTTTATCGAAAAAATTGCAGTAAATCGTTCACCCTTCACCTTTTATTTTCTTTGAAAATGGCGGACCTTGTCAGTGATTTAATAGACGGCCACGCGGCATAAGAAACGTAGAGGGGCGATTTTACCCTGTGTCTTGCCTTATAGTACGGCATGCACGTAGCGATCGTCGAGGGTGCGCGTGAGAACGTGCTGGCCAGGTGCTCTTATCTGACACCCTTAGCGATACACAGCTGTTTCTATGTATATAATCGAAGACACCGTAGTAGAGGGTAATAATAACACAATCTATAAGAAAAAAAGACTTAAATGAAGGTAATCTACGTGTGATTAAAATTTAATTAAATTACAGAGTCTTAGCTCTACCACATGTCACTGCTGTTGGTATACATATTAAAATCTATCAGCATGGCATGGCTTGGAAATAAATTAGTCAATAGGTACTGTATGTATGTATATTTTTCATAATTAGTTACACATTATTTCATTTTCCAATAATTACTGAAAAAAATACTTACCAAAATTAGTTTCTTACTGTTCTTATTTAGTATTTTATACTTCAAAAAAATTTGATCCTGTCTTATTTCAAACAAAAATACCACACAATATAATGTGTGGTAATTTATCTGTAACATAATAATATGTTATGTAATATTTGTAATGTACTATATTTTTTCCGTTTAATAATAGCATTTTTCATGAAGAGATCTGATATTTCTTATTTTGTTATTTGGCAGTTTTTAACATAGTGATAGTATCACTGCAAAATATAAATATTTTGTTTCCCAGTAGCGGCACCCCTGCGTTTATCACGGGCGTTTTGCCACAATCGGTGTAGGGCGCATAAAAGCTGCGCGTCGTAAGGCGCGCGCGCCATTCCCTCGCAGACCGTCGCGCGCGCATCACCAATGATTCTTCCCGCGCGCACTATGTCGCCTCCGCGCGGCGCCTTCCACCCCCCGCCACCCGCACCTCACCACCCTGATGAGGAGCCCGTCTCCCGCACCTACCAATATCGCAAGGTCATGAAGCCCATGCTTGAGAGGAAACGCAGGGCGCGCATCAATCGCTGCCTCGACGAACTCAAGGACCTGATGGTTACAGCGCTCCAAGCCGAAGGAGAAAATGTGTCCAAGTTGGAAAAAGCTGACATCCTAGAATTGACCGTTCGTCATCTTTACAGCCTAAAGCGACGAGGACAATTAGTGCTGAAGCCTGAAATGTCGTACGCGGAGCGCTTTCGTGCTGGATTTACACAATGTGCTACGGAAGTGTCACAGTTCATAGCGAACGCTACTCTGGCCGCCAATGCTATGCAACGGCAAGGACCAGTGGATCCTCAGGCTGGAGCAAGGCTATTACAACACCTGAGCAACTGTATTAGGAGATTAGAAAATCCTCAAGTGGTTCAGCCGCAGCCAATCGCACCGAACGGAGTCGCTCGGCCGACACCGCTGCAGCCGATAGCCCCTGCTCCTCAGCCACAACATCCCGTTGCGCCACAGCCTGTTCTGCCATGCCAGGCAATTCAAAGGACAACGCTTCCTGAACGAGGGCTGAAGAGGCCAGCGGACGCGACGATGGACGCTGAAGCGGCCCTCGCGAAGCGAGCATACGCGCCTCCTTCGCCCCCGCACAGCCCCGCCTCCGAGTCAGACTCCGCCCAGTCGATGTGGCGACCGTGGTGACTGCTCCGTTGCTGCAATTCGTGATCTCGCATGCTCTCCAGGCAAGACTGTGTGACCGCATACGTGTGATAATATTCCAGAGACATTTTGTTGTTTGTTCCCATTTACGTTCCTAGAACCGATGTGTGTTAAAGTTGACGGTGCATGTTGTTCTAACGTTTGCTTGTTGAAGTTTGTTTTTAATTTAAAAATAAAGTAAGGGTTTTGTTTTCGAAATAATCTGTTTGTTTGATATGCCTAACTTCAACGTTTTCCGCGTCGGTTTAAGTATTGAGCATTTAATGTTAAATATAAAAGTACCATAGTGTAGTGTAGCACCTAAGTTACAGCTGTGATATTGAAGTTCTCTTCGTTAGAAGTGGTAGGTCAAAAGACTAAATTTTAGGTTAAACGGCAGATAACTGTAGTAATGAACAGGATAATAAATACTGTGTTGTAAAAGGATATTTTGTTTTGTTTGCTTGGGGTTGGGGGATATCGGTAACCGTATTTAACCGTAACGTAAATAAATGCACTTGTATTTATTGTACATATGTATGTACAACACTATATTTTCCCCATGTTGGGTAGAAGTATAACGAAAACGTAGATCTTTTGGCCAAACAGGCCGGAGACGATGGGGATTATTATGGGTGTTTACCATATTTTTCGGATCTATTTCACCTGTCTTAAGAAGAGAGTGAGAAACTTTGGAAGGAAAACTTCAACGAAAGATCTGTTACAAAGGGTATAAAACAATACAGCCTAGCCTCTCCAACAACTTTTAAATTGATGCAACAGACATGAGCAGGAACGAAATCATAACAGCTATCCGACTTCTCTCGGGCCACATTCCAATTAAACAGTTTCTCCCACTTTATGAGTAAGACAACGTCTCCCAACTGCTCTATTTGTAACAAGAGGCAGGAGGTACACCACGTCCTCGTGCGTCCGAAACGAGGCGAGAGGCATCAGCTGAGCATCAAATTCTACTTGCCAGTATGAAGTGTGGGTATGTGTAACACTATACTGGCTAACCATACATCCAAAGTCGCCAGAGCGCTGTACCGCATGGTACAAAAATGTATAAAATGTGGATAATTATCAGTATTTAGTATGTAATGTGTTTAAGTGGTGCTACGTTCCTAAGGGGGTGGCATACTCTGTTAAGAATAAGAAAAAATACACTATATTTGCAATAACTAGGATATGGCTATAGGGTACGTTTGGTATTCTACTAAAAGTTAAGAGTCCTATTCAAATGCCATTGCAATCTTTTGGTATTCTGCTCTTCAATGGCGAACCTTTTATTTTTATTTTTAATTCAAACGTAAGTGAAAATTTAACTCCCATCTCACCTGATTGAAAGTGAGGATGAGGTCGACGGTGGAGCATGCACATCTAAAAATAATGCCTTTTCACTCTCGCCTTGAAAAGGTCCGAGTTATAACGTTCAGGTAACAAGTCTGCAGGCAGGGAATTCCACTCCATAGCCGTGCGCCACATAAATGTGGAAGCGTAACGCTTCTTGAGAATCTTTGGAGCCGGTGGCACGTCGATGACATACTCTACTAATATTATATATATTTAATTTGAGACTAAATTACTGATTCAACGAGATAAATATTAAGTTATTTAATAGTCATTTCCATGGTTGTTTTGGTAAGGCGTGAGATGAAATGAATAAACGCCATCAATGCCATTCCACTGACACGCTCTATAACTTCAGAAACTCAACCGCCACTGCAACTATATTTTAGCGATTAAGATAAAAATATTGTCATAATTGCAATCTCAGTGGAGTCTCAATTCTCAATTTAATTAGAATGACCAGTGGTTTCAAAATGAATTACAACTGAAAAATGAACGACCTCAAAAGATCGTGGAATTACTACTCTTTAGAGTTTTTGAGATTGAACTTCGACACACGCTACTCCGACAACATGTTACATCGACATGATTTTACTCAGACCCTACGCTACTTCGATAACACAGACGAGATGTTCTTAAAAAAATCTTTGTACTTAGATAACAAAAATCACCATTACACACACGTGTAGGAAATGGTTTCTTATTATATACTTACAGATCAATATAACAAAAAAAAAACAAAAGCATATAATCGAAAAATTATTTTATGGGTTATATAAAGTGTAACAAAAAACTATTAAATTAAAGTACAATAAAATACACTATTTCATGTATGTAAATACATGAAATAATGTTCTTTTTATCGAGGGTCTAAAACAAGCCAATATCCTCGGTGTTTTGTAGTAAGGGCGAAAGCGCCATTTTGAGCAAATTTTCCGGGGAGCAAGTTTTAGTTTTTCACCACTGTTTCAAAATATTTACTACCTGTTTTAAATTCTATATTAAAACTTAAACTTAATTCAATCCAAAATTTAATTTTAAAACAGGAGGCAAATATTTTAAAACATGATCTCCATAACTTTTTTACAAATCCGCCGGAGTAATCGCGCAACATACATAAAAAAAATACAGTCGAATTAAGAACCTCCTCCTTTTTTGAAGTCGGTTAAAATTTCGCTATACAACTTACTATTAGATGCTTGTGGTCATCGTAATTTTATAACACTAAAATACTTTATTATCTAAAAGTACAAAACAGTAATTTTCAACAACATTAAACAATAAGAGAATGACACCAATCAATTAGGCCATTGCTCGCAATTTAATGACAACCTTGGCACCAGAAAAAGTACCCAGCCCTTGACACGCCCAGATCATCTAATTTCTTTACGAGAAACTGCTCTACTACGTCATCTAATTAATGATTAACTTTGCAACAAAGTAATTAACACTCTTTCATAAAATATGCGAGAACCTCTTTGTTAATTGTCAGTCCGCTTTTCTTGCACGAACTTTGTTATTGTTTGTACACTTTTGAGGATTGGCTCTGTAAATGCGTAGCATTACACGAGTTAGCGAAAGCGAATGCAGTCGTAATGCAGCAAAAGCATTACCTTCTCGCTCGCCCTCGCCCGTGCCTAGTTACAAAATCTACCCTCAGCTTTTAAATGTAACTGTAATTATTAAAAAAAACATATACTTAACCTACGTATCGTACGTATAACGTAACTATTTGTATAAGATCATTTATGTTAACCAAGACTGCTTGTAACTACTTAATCTTTTACTTTTTAGACGTGACACATTACAGACGCCTCAAGGGTTTCAGTATCTTACTAACTATTTGTTTAACAGAATTTGTGAATACGAAATAAATAAAAAAAGCTACACGGGCAAAAAAATGTTACAAACAGGTTTGTATAATTCCGCCGCCGCCGTTAGTTGAAAGTTCGCACGTGACATTTTATCAAAAAAAATTTTATGTGTATTGGAGTGTCTACTTTTTTTATTTAATATAATATAAAGTGACGGAAAGAACGAGACATGCTGCCTGATGGTAAGCTACACGCCTGTCCATAACAGTTGCAGGGCCGCTCAGAGCTTTAAATCGCAAAGATCTGAGGGTCACTGCCACTGCGCCCGTCACCCTGAGACATAAGTTGGCAAGTCCCATGTGCCTGTAATTTCACCATCTCATCATATTACAAGACATTAGCTGTATTGCAATGGCCCTGAATGAAAACAAAAGCCGCTTTAGGTCCGCCTTTTTAGCTGTATTTAACCGACTTCAACACAGAAAGAGACACATTGAAAAGTCCCATATGACTGTAATTATACCAGCACCCTGCCCCTTCGAAACCGGAACACAGTAATGCTGACATTACTGTTAGGCGGCAGAAATAGGTAAGGAGTATACGTACTACGTGAAAAGGTATGAAGTTGCCGCAAGAAAAAGCAGATCTTTTTTGTATTGAATTTTTTTAAACATAATTTTCTCGGTTTTGAGTTTTTGTCACAAGCGACCTTTCAATTAACGCCGACAGAAATATTAATACAAAGATAGAACACTTAGAAAAAATCCTTCGGTCAGGCTGGATTCGAACCAACGTCTTCTAGCAAACCTTGCCAGACGCTGTGCCAACTAAGCCACAGAACGAACCGGCGGACCTTACTAATTCTACTATGGGTTTCTTTTGTTTTTTAACGAATTTTCTGCCGTAACGCCATCTGTGAGAAAATTGTTTCTTTAGGTTTGTATATTTTTCAATTTTAAACAAGATTGAATGAAATTGTATTCTCTTGAGTGTTATAATTTGAGGATAGTTTAGAGGCTACATTTTTGGTACACCTTATTTTTTTGTTTAAAAAACATGAAGAGTATAATATAATAAGTTATAGTTGTATATATCATAATAAAATGTGCATTACATGTGAAGTATTTCAGACCCAAACAATATTATTCCTATGATCATGTAAACACCCAGTGGATATCATAATGAAAATATCGCGTTCAAATGTAACCCTGTATATATTCTATATAACCGTAGTGATCTGGAGAAGGTACGAGTTTCATACAAAACCAAGGGCATTCTTGTTTGGTCCTGAAGCATGTACTCGTATATTTATTATATTTCAATGCACATTGGGCGTTTAACGCTTTTCCCGAAAATATAATTCTAAGCAAACTACGCTCAGAAGGATATTTTTAGTAGCAGTAAGAGAGAAATACTGTCGCCTTGCCTATTTCAGCCGCCCAGCAGGAATGTGAGCATTGCAACTTTCCGGTTTTGAAGTGTAAACGTGCTGGTAAAATTACAGAGACGGGCACAGTGGCAGTGCCCCTCGAATCTTTGTGACTTAAAGTTCTGAGTAGTCTGCAACTGTTATGGACAGGTAAACGACACGTTTACCACCAGGCTCCCGATTTGTTCGTCCCGTCACTATTGGTAGCATAAAAAATAAAACTATGTCTCTGATAAACTACACCTACAAGAAACAAGTTTGTGATCTCTTGGTTTGTCAACCTGCTCTAAATTTTATTGAATTAAAATGATGGCCTTTATACCGCGTCCACAGTGTACAATAAACCTTACAATCGTCGGCTAAACTAAATTATGCCAAAGCAGCGTTCGACATGGTTCTCAGTGGCGGCTATTACGCTGATAATGGCAACGCGGCGCACGCGTCGGAATTAGCTCACTCCCGTAATTGGACCTCGCAGCCTCCGACAGCGACGCAGCCTTCACGTCGGCTATGTGAAGAGGTCGGCAACATTTTTAGAGTCGACGCATTGGATTTGGGACACTACAGAGCTACTTAAGGGAATATGCAAAAAATCTTTATAAAGTGGTTGTACAGTCTCAGTATGGAGTACTAAAAACCGATCTCAAAACTTCGTGGAATTACATCTACTTGCCAAGTTTTATTCGAATCGGTTACCGGAAAATGCACGAAAACGGATTCATCCCCGAGTTTGTCAACCTTAGAGGTGGAATATTTTCTTCAAATTAAAATGGGACCATTACTGGTTACCCTCTTTCCAATGAAAAAATAATCGTCAAATTCGTTCTCAAATCTGGAG